TACGTAAAACTTTGGTGCACTAGGGCTCTGGTTTTCCTGACTTTTTTTATTAATGAAACCTTAAGGCGGGTGTCAAACTCATTCACCACATCAGCCTCGCAATTGCCTTCAAAGGGCTGAATGTAATGTAATTTTAGGACTGTGTGAATGTAACTACTCCTTAACTATTGAGTATGAATTACATTCAGTCCTTTGAAGGCAACTGCAAGACTTATGTGGCCCCTGGTGAAAATAAGTTTGACACCCTGCCTTGAGGGATGTTAAGGTGCTAGATGGGAACAAAATTAGATAAAGGCCAGTTTCTCACTTCCCTATATGTTCCCACCTACTTGGGTTGTGGGAGCTTGTGCTGACCTGCCCTTCCTGTCCTGGGGCCTTTAAGAGAATGGGCAGAGCCAAGTTGTGCCTGTGCAGGTTGCAGAGGAAGGGCTCATGTCTTTCAGACCTCCAAGGGGGCACTGACCCCACACATGAGGCAAGAAACATCAGTGGGTAGATCCAGAGTGGGTATAGGGGTGTTGACTGACCCCCAAGATTCTACCAAATTTGATGTACATTTAAAAATGTTACGATAAAGCCCAGGCTGGTGTGGCTCTGGATTGAGTGCCAATCTGTGAACTAATAGGTGGATGGTTCAGTTCCCTGTTAGGACACATGCCTGGGTTATGAGCTAGGTCCCCAATAAAGGCCCTGGCAACCACACATTGATGCTTCTCTCCCTGTCTTCCTCCCTTCTTTTTGTAAAAATAAATAATTTTTTGAAGATGTCACAGTATAATAATGATGGGAGAGAAAAACCTCCACCCTGAGCCCTGTGAAGCCTAACTCAGTGAATGCTGTTGGCCTGTCCCCTTCTCTACCAGTCAGGAGTGGGTGCCCTCAGCCCTTCTGATTCCCTTATACAAACTTGGCATTGCAGAGGAGGGTAGGGGTGGCAGTGCTGACCTGGAAGACCAGTGCTATGATGTCCTGTGTGTTCTTGTGATAAGGAGGTAGAGACATGTCCTGTCTTGGGTCCGTCCATAAGGCAGCGGTCCTCAAACAACTCGCCACAGGGCATGCCACATCTCAGTTCTCAGTGAGGCATCGAGGCAGCTCACAGTGACTAGGACATGGATTTGGAGTCTCAGCAATCTGACTGGGCTTTTGGGGCTTGTTAAGTGCAAGAGCTGACCTTGAAACAACCACCCTTATGCCCCAACCACCCTTATGCCCCACTACCATGCCACCCACTTTCCAGGCGCCCCAGCTGGCCTTCACTGTGTGGAAGGAGGACTGTCCCCTTCTCAGATGGGGGCTACAGGAGCCCAAGGCAGGGCACTGTTTCTCTCTAAGCCCCGGGCTCTCCTGGGCACGCCATCCTTGCATCTCCCAGTTGATAGAGAAACCTTGGGCACGCAGAAGCCAGGTCAGCCTATAGGAAAAGGTGTGTGAAAGGAGAAAGGCCAAAACCCCATGTGCCAAGGCTGGTTCTACAGTGAGGCCTTGGGACAGGAGAATCTAGGCCTCCCTGGGACCAGACCTTGGACACTGAAAGACTAAGAAACAGAAACAGTTCAGGCTGGCATAGCTAAGTGGATTGATCACGTGCCTGCAAACCAAAAAGGTGGCCGGTTCGATTCCCAGTCTGGGCACATTCCTGGATTGCAGGCCAGGTCCCCAGTTTGGGATGTGTGAGAGGCAACCACACATTGTTTCTCTTCCTCTCTTCTTCCCTTCCCCTCTCTATAAAAATCTTAAAAAATAAAAAGGGAAATGGCAATTTAAGTCTAGTTGTCCAAGGCAGTGAGTAAGGCTGCCCTTGGATGATGGGGACTTGCGAAGGAGACTGCTGGGGTGGGCACAAGGACAGATGTTCAGTCTGATGGTTGCTGAACTGGGGTTCTGTGCAGCTGGACCTTCAGGGTGATTTTAAAGAAGCTGAAAATCTGAATTTTCAGCGACTTGCCTTAGTTTTACAAGTTGACAAATGACATTTTCTTAACACTGAGCAGTCTAAATGAGAAAGGCCTGGGAATTGGTCCTTGTCTCACAGAAGGGTGGATCTGGTTGAAAGGTGCAGTGGTGGTTGAGCCAGGTCAGTGATGGAGGACTTGGGACACCACCAACATCCCAGCTGGCAGAACGCCGATGGAAGTAGCTGTCATGGGACTACATGCTTGGGTCTCTGGACTGTCTGGGGATCCACATCAAAACCAGCAAGTTGCCTGGTGAGAATGGGATCAGAACACTGGCCCTGAGTAAAGCTCTTTGGAGCTTTCCAGCCACAGGCTAGCCTTGGCCTCTCCAGCAGAGCCAGGCCTCCTTGTAACTGCCACCCACAAAGCCTGGGCACCTCTGTAGGGGGGTGGACTTCTTCACAAACAACAGTTGGCCAAGTCCCAAATCAAGACTTCTTCCTCTGGGTAGTGGTGGCCTTTGGGCCCATCCTGGCTTTTGCTACTTCCAGTAGTAACCCTCGCTGTCTCTGAGACAGCATGGTCTCACCTTTAAAAAAGATGGTGGCCACCTGTCTTGTTGACCTGAGGCCTTTCTGTCTCCCCGGTTCATTTGGCAACACTCTGTCGTGATTTATTACCAGTAGAACTGGGTGCCCAGTTTGTCAAACATTTAACCTTCTGTAACCCTATAAGCTTGTTACAGTGGGTCTCCGGGTGTGGAAATTGGTATGTAGTCCCACAGATAGTATCTACTTGGAAGTTGGTTCTCCGGCCCACCTGGGGGTGCAGAAGATGGCAAATGGCAGCTGCCCAGGCATCTCTATGGGGCTGACATTCAGACACGGGGACATCTGTCATCATCTCCCTGACTGTGCAACACAGGACTTGCCAGCTCTGATAGTGTGGCAGGTGTGGGCAGAGTAGCTCTCCCCCGACCTGGCTCAACTTCCAGGAACCTCTCTGTCCGCCGAAGACGGCTTGAAAAAAGGCCACTGTGGTGCTTCAGTGCCTGCAGGACTTCAGCTGTACACACAACAGACACACCCACACCTTCCTGCCACTGTAGCTTTTCTCGCTGTATTCATCCTGGGTAGATAGGCTGAGTTTCCAGCTGCTGCTGGCCTGGTTGCTGGACCTGGACAAGTCACCTCTGGACCCTGGTGTGCGTATATGCAGAATGGGGAGGACTGCTCTCTGGGGGCAGCAGTGAGCGTTATAGCCAACCACTTGGCATACTCGAATGAAGTGACCATCACAAGCCCCTCCTGTTACTCTTCTGACCCTTAATTCTCTTCCCTTCTCCCTTCTCTATTTAATTGAAAAGATGGGTGAGATAATATTTTTATTTATTAATTTTAGAGGGGAAAGGAGGGAGAGAAACATCAATGTGTGGTTGCCTCTCACACGCCCCCTACTGGGGACTTGGCCCACAACCCAGGCATGTGCCTTGACTGGGAATCAAACAGGCAACCCTTCAGTTTGCCAGTGTTCAATCCACTGAGCTATATCAGCCAGGGCAAAAAAACAAAAACAAAAGGATGAGATCGTATTTTTAATATTTTGTGAAAGAAAAAGTGCCATAGTTGAGTCGTGGGTATCCTTTAGTCTGTACCCAGCCCTGACCTCATACCCAAGCAGACTACATTTACACACAAGGGGTCTTGTTCCTAAGCCAACTTGGGGCCTTTTAAACTTCTAAGCTTCTGCCAAGTCCTTGTGTAGCTGTGAAGGAATTTTAAGGATTGAATCTCTTCGTGGGGGTTGGGGATGGAGATTTGGAAGATTTACTCCCCACTCTTAGCTCCCATAAACCCACTTGTCCCCTGGGGGCACCAGGCCCTGGGAAGTCACAGAAACCCAGGAGTGAGTGATGACACTGCTGGGCCAGGCTAGAAGGACTAGGTGAGAGGAAGGCGGGAGGCACTCGAGGTGGCAAAGGGAGGGGTCTGGATGCAGGTGGATGGACCCAGCACGGGTGGGGGATGGGCACAGCCAGCTCACGGTGACTTCAGGTGACCCATGTGAAAAATCTGGACTCAGTCCCGAGGTTGGCGAGTTCTGGGCAGGTGTCTGGCATAGTGAGAGCTGAAGTCCCTAATTCTTGCCCATGTTAATTGGGTGTACTGTGTGCCTGATTGCTGGTAACAATCAGGGGAAGCAGGCAAGACTTGGGACAGGAAGGCCTGTCAGGGGCTCTTGTCTCCTTCAAGGAAGACCAGTGTGGGGTGTCAGGGAGGGAATGAAATTATCCTGCAGCAAAAAGGACAGGACTGAAAGGTGGTGCTGAGGGACTGTAGGGGTCTGGAATGAAGGGGCCACATGAGGTGGGAAGTGTGAGTCACCTTGAGATTTGCTGGGTTTGCAGGATCCCTGAGGCACCCAAGGGGAGGACTGGGATGCAGGTGAGGATGGAAGCCTCAGGGGTGATGTGAGAGGAGACCTAAGACAGGACCATGGGGGATATCAGCAGGACAGGGCATCCTGGTGGGGCCCAAAGCTGGTGGCTGGGGAACTGCTGCTGTACAGGTAGGCAGAAGAGTGAGGGGGGCTGCAGAGAGGCCAGGCAGGTAGGCAAGGGGGAATGTGTCTGGTGGATGTTGGGTTTAGCAACAGGAAGTCACTGGTCCAAGCAGGCAGGGCAGGGGGCCAGGTGTGGGCCTGGGCGTGGTGGGTCCCAGAGAGCGTGGCAGGTGGGGATGTAGCAGGAGATGACGGGAAGTGAGCGCCCTGGCTGGAGTTGCAGAGAGACACGGACGAGGGGATGTAGAAGCTTGAGCTGATCAATGGATTGTGGTTTTTAAGGGGTCAGAAGAGCATGGGCCCTGAGAAGAAAGGGCTAGGCATAATTCTTTCACCCGGGGCTAACTGAGCACCTACTGTGTGCAGACACGGGTCTGAGAGCCAACGTGGCCTTATATGGGGACAGGAGGGTGGAGGAAGGACAGGCTGCCACTGCTTCAGTCCCTTCACACCTCCCGGACAGGGCTTGCGGTGGGGAACCCCAGCAGGACAGACGCAGGTGGGTAAAGTTCTCTTAATACACATTTATTTCACGGAGGTTCACAGGCGACGGTAGCGGAAGAGTACGTGCCGGCACACGGGGCATGTGTGCTTCACATCCATGAAGCTCTCCATGCAGAAAGGGAGGAGACAGCAACCCAGGAAACACCTGCAGCCTCGGGAGCAGTGGGCCGTGGGCTGGGGTCCAGGCGGGAGGGTGCTGGGCTCACCCCAGGGTCAAGTCAAGGCTGCACACCACCATCCTTGGTCCTGCCTGGCCCACTCTGCCGGGCGTCCTCCCCACCCTGGAGGCCCTCCCCAGCCGATGGTCAGGGCCCCCACTCACCCAAACACAAAGAGGCCTGTACACAGCATCCAGGTGAGGACCCCCGGGGCCGGGGTGGTCACTGTGAGGATGTAGTTTCCACAGTACGGACAAGGGTACTGCATCGGCATGACAGACGCCATCCTAGGCACACCGCTGAGCATAGCTTGGGGGGCCAGGAGGGGAAAGCTCAGACCTCACACCTGCACCTCCCGCTTCCCAGTGTCCACAGCTGGGTAGCCCCTGCATGGCCTGTACCCTTCTCCAGGGGCCCTGGGCTCTTTGGGCTCCGCTGAGCAACTCAGGCTGTCCACATGGGCCCCCATGTCCCCCTGCAGCTTCTTCCTACCAACCACCAGCTCTCAGGGCCCAGGGTATGCCTCAGTCAAGACACCTTGCTGTTGGTGGCCAAGGGACCCAGGAGGTTGGGGAGCACCTCTGGGTGTGAACTCAAACTTCAGTGTGTTCCCCACGACATCCTGCCCATACATCCCCTTTGGGGTTTTTGTTTAACTCAGCCAGAGCTGGTTTCTAGCCCGGCAGTTTAAAATCTCTGACACCCTTGGTAAAGCAGTTGCATTAAAAACGGAAACAAGGAAATGGTACGGGTACTCCATTTCCTTGGTGGTGCACCAGTGATAGAGGGATGCCCCCAACTCTCCCCTGGGGTTTTGCAGAGTACCTGCGTGGAGAAAAAGGAAGCAGCAGTTGAAGCAAACGTATGGCAGTTAGAGGGTGAGGTTAAATGGAAAAAAAAATAAGGAAATAAGATTCTAAACCTAGTCTTAGTTCTTTCTTGAAACTTTTCCTTTGCTTTAGATTTTGTCTTTCTTTCTGTTTTGGAAAGGAGCACCTTAGATTGTACTTTAGACTGATTAGAATTGTTTAGCTAGAGTCTAGTAAATGGGGTAAGATTTATGAAGCCTTCATGAATTGGTCAATCTAAAGAATGCTAATTACCTATGTTTAAGTTGAAAAAATATATGGCTTTGGTAATAAAATATATAAATTATGGCAATATATTTCAAAGGAAATAGAATTAAAAATAAATTGTTCTAATTCCTGAATGCATTAAAATGGCAAACTAAAAGGGACTAGGAAAATTTGCAGAGGGTCTGTGTAAGTTGAAGGATTGTGTAGAAGGAAGAAGCAAAAAGACAATCAAAAGAGAGAATCTTGTGCTTTACATATTTAGTCTTTATGTGTGGGATCTGTGTGTAATATGTGTTTATCTGTCTATTACATATGGTGTGTTTTCTGCCTCTCGGTGGCATAATTAGGGTGAAATATTTTATTGACCTAAAGAAAGTAGACACTTAAATTACACAGGATCCTGTGGTCTGGACAAATTATTTGATATGAAAACCAGTTTTGAGTTTAATTATTGTCTTTTAAAGATATTAGTATTAAAGTTTTTACAAAAAGTTTCTTATACTTTGGTTAAGTTTGTTTGACAGCCCTCAAATTCAAATTTTAAGAAACTTTTCAATTAAGTGACTTTAGGTATTCCAGTGGGACCCTGGAATACCTTAAGTATTTGTCCTCCCTCTTTTATAAAAGAGAAGTTTTGGAAATGATTAGGCCTATTTAATATGCTTCAAGTACATGGTAAGCTTTGTCAAAGAAATATTAATTGCAAAAAAACCCCCACAAAAAACAGAAACAAAATACCCCACCACCAACAAAAACCCAAAAGCCTTCTTGGTGCTACTCTTCTCATCTCTTCCTCTTGCATTTGTGCAAAAGTGTGATTAGCTCCTTTAAACATTGCAGCCATGTCTACCATCTTGGGTGTGCAGGGAAGGATAGGCTTTGAATTTACTGGCTGAACTTATTGTCAGGAAAACCCAATTCCAGGGAGCTCTGGTGTTCTGGACTGAGGGCTCAGGGCCTCGCCTGGGTGGACTGTTCAGTGTTGTGAGGAGGGCTTATGACCACGACAGACTTTGGCTTCTTCTGGGGTTCAGGGTGAGGGGGTGCTGGATTGGAGAGCTAGAGCCAGGTATGTGGGGTATAGACTCCTCGGTTTGGCGGAGAACTCAGGAAAGAACTACCTATGGCTAGAAGGGGGTGGCCCACACTCTCTAATGGCCTTTGCAACAGCAAAGATGCCATCTTCTTTGGCATCTTTGCTCCAGGGAAATGTACAGCTCAGCCCAGCAGCTCTCAGCCCTCAGGGGGTTCCTGAGTTCCTTGGCTAGTGTGTTTAACATTCCAAAAGCCCAGACCTCACCCTGGGGGCCTGCATCCCCCTCACCTGTGGTTGGAGTTAGGGTCTTTGCAGAATAGAGAAGAGGATTTTACTCCTGAACATCTACTGTGCACCAGCCCCCTGCACCAGTGATTTCCCATTGGAGAGAAGTGCTCATGGCCATGGGCAAATGGCCACTGGTGGCTGTGGGGCAGGGAAGGAGGACTTCCCAGAGGAGATGCTGTTTGAGCAGCATCTTGGTGAGTGGTCAGGGCAAGGAGGGGAGGTAGGCAGGATAACTTACTTGTGTGAACAACTCGGGGGCCTTGGAAGTACATTGGATGAGGTGGTTGAATTCCTGGAGGTTGAGGAGGAGGTGGTTGAATTCCTGGAGGTTGAGGAGGAGGTGGTTGAATTCCTGAAGGTTGAGGAGGTGGAGGAGGAGGTAATGGAGGCAGTAACGGAGGAGGTGAAGGAGGACGTGAAGGAGGAGGTGAAGGAGGAGGTGGTGGCGATGGTGATGGCTCTTTGGGAGAGAGAAAGGAAACATACTCAGATATGATGGCCCTCTATGTGCCAGGCACTGAGCGATAACTTGGTCAGCCTGAGGGAGAAACCCATTTTACAGGAGAGAAAGCTGAAACCTAGAAGAATGAATCAACTTGCCTGCAGTTGGAAGGCTGTTTGGACAAGGGATTCTGGGATCCTGGATCCCCAGAGTGTGGTCTGAGAGAGGCAAGGATGGGAGCCCCATAATTTGAACAACAGTGTGGGCGATGGCTGGAGACCCCCGTGTGTTTCATTGGGAACCACTCGGGCACTTTGCATGGGAACCTGACCCTCCCAGGAAAGGAGCTTCATGGCTCAAGGGGGCCCCTGGGTTCTCCCCACCCAATGCCTTTCCCCAGAGAAGGAGCAACCAGGAAACAGGAACCCCCCTACCCCTGCTTTTTGCCACATGGTCTAGACTCTTTGGAACAGAAAAGGTTTCTTACCCACCCTGTGCCCCCAGCAGTCACACTAGGGCCTTGTTTTTGTACCCATTTTACAGATGACAAAACTGAAATTCAGAAGTTAAGTACCGCCCTGGCTGGCGTAGCTCAGTGGATTGAGCACGGGCTGTGAACCAGGTATCGCAGGTTCAATTCCCAGTCAGGGCACATGCCTAGGTTGCAGGCCATGGGCCCCAGCGACCGCACATTGATGTTTCTCTCTCTTTCTCTCTCCCTTCCCTCTCTAAATATAAATAAATAAATAAACAAATAAATAATCTTTTAAAAAAACTTAAAAAAAGAATGCATGTAAAATGCAGTTTCACTTAAAAAAAAAAAGAAAAAAGAAGTACCTAGCTCAGGGCTGCCAGCTAGAAAGCTGTGATCTCTCATGAGTTAGCAACTGCCCAGACCTATGACAATCATATCATTTCATCCTCTTGCCCTTTTTCAGATGAGAAAGCAGATTCAAAGGGGTTTGGTGACTTAAGTTGAGAATAGCATGGCCAGAATCCTACCCCACTCCACCCATCAGTCCAGGTGTCTCTGGGGCAGAGGAGGGCAGATCATACCAGACATAGGGTGGTCATTAGCTTTGCTCCACGGTCTTCTTGTGACACTTTAAGAGAGGGCACGGGATGTTGAAGACCTCACTTTGTCCCCATTGGGTCACATGGTCCCAGGTTTGTGGGGACAGCAGGACTTGGGGGAGGTGAGGACTGGAATCAGCCCCCAGCTCAGCAAAGGGACACACAGTCTTCTCTCCTGCTTCCCGGGGGCCCCCCCTTCAGCCTGTCGCTGGCCTCTCCCAGCCCTGAAACTCTAGGGGCTCCCTCACCCTGGGGAGGATTCCATCTTGGCACACTGGGCGTCCTTTGTTCCAGCAATGGCACCAAAGCATCATCAGGTTCCAAGTTCTGATCGGCTGAGTGCTTGTCTCCAGCAGTCTTCATTGTGGCCTGGCTGCCCGCAGACAGGAGTGCAGGCCTTCTCCAGCACCTCTTGCTGGGCCTGGCTCAGGTGGAGCGGCCATTGTGATTGTGTGTCCTCACAATGGCCAGAGGGGGAGTGTCATCCCCATCCTCTGCAGGAGGGGGCGGGGCCTTCCAGGGGTCCAGCCTAGGGAACCTCTGAAGATGGCCCTTCACCACTGTCCACAGCGCCATGCTGTGTGCAGTGAGGAAGCTGGCACCGAGCTTCACAGGGCGGGGTGGCAGAACCTCTCTGGAGCCTTAAAGGGACGAATTTGATTAGGGCTAGCGACTCTGCTTCAAGGAATTTTGTCCTGCTCCATGCAAAAATCTAGTTGTGAGGATGTTCATGTCCTCTTTTGTGTAGGTGGATGTTTATACATACACACATGTATGAGGTTTGTCTGAAAAACTTGAGCCTTCATTAACAAAACTATGGTATGCACAACATCAATGTAACCTGAAAGCCAAGTCAGTGGACTGGAATGTGCATGCATGGACAACGATGACTTCACTGTACTAGTCAGTGGGGGCATTAGGTGCCATTCAGTGAGCATATGTACTGTGTGGCTGTTGCATTCATAATGACTAAGTGCGCAGAGCAACGAATCTGTATCAGATTTTGTGTTATCCCTTGAATATTTCTCCAGAGAAACGATTCAGATGATTCAGAAGGCTTTTGGGGACAATACAATGAAAGCAGCACAAATAAAAGTGTGGCACAAATGCTTCAAACATGGTCGAGAATCTGTTGAAAGTGATTCACATTCTTCCGGATAGAAGGCCTGCAGGAAGCAGAACACCTGAGAATATTGCACTTGTACAGGCTGCAATCAATAAAGACTGGCGACTGACAGTGTGAGAACTAGAAGCTGATCTAGGGATTCTAAAAACAACTGTGTCCGACATTTTGACACAGGATCTGTGCATGAAACATGTTCCTGCAAAATTTGTTCCATGGCTTCTGCTACCAGAGCAGAGGGAACCTTGTGCTGCAGTTGCTAATGACTGGATTCAAACTACCACCAATAACCAGATTTCCTCAAGAAGCTCCTAACCTGAGATGAATCATATAGGTCTAGGGGCATATCCAGAAACAAAGACCCAGTCGTCCCAATGTAAGCCTCCTGGTTCTCCACCTGCAAATAAGATGCGGCAAAATCAGCAAGATCAAGCCCATGTTAACTGTGTTTTTTGATTGGGAAGGTGTTGTGCATCATGAGTACACTTGTCCAGGCCAAACAATTAATAAGGAGTACTACCTCAATGCTCTTTGTCAGTTGAGAGATGCAATAAGACGAAAATAGCCACAGCTAAGGGCAACTGGTGATTGGCAGCTTCATCATGACAATGCATCTGCTCATGCATCACGACTCCTACAGAGTTTTTTGGAGAAACATCAAATCACCCAAGTGACTCAGGCCTCCTAAAGCCCAGTTTTGGCACCCTGTGACTTCTGGTTTGTCCCAAAACTAAAATCACCTTTGAAAGGGAAGAGATTTCAGACCATTGATGAGATTCAGGAAAATATGATGGGGCAGCTGAAGGTGATGTTTCCAACACAGGATTTTGTGGAGTGTTTTGAAAAGTGGAAGAGACTCTGGGAGAATTGTAAGAGCTTCCAAGATGCCTACTTTGAAGGGGACTGAGGTGTCATTGTCCTATGTACAGTATTTCCTGTATCTTGTATCTTCTTCAATAAATGCCTCTATTCTTCTTGGTACATGGCTGGATACTTTCTGGACAGACTGTATACACGTGCATCATATATGTATACACGTGTCTATATGTGTGAAGAGTGCAAATACAAATGTAGGCATGTATATACACACATATGAACACATACTACAGGTGTATACACACATTCATGTGGTGTATGTGTATCGCAAGTGCGACTGCCTCTCCTGCTTATGTAGCTGTTTGAGTTTGGGCAAGATCCTCACTTCCTCTAACCCTCCATCGCCTGGCTTACTCACCTGTAAGATGGGGGTACTAATAGCTTCCTTATAGGGCTATTTTGAGATCAAATGATATAATCCAGGTGGTGGATTCAGACCGGTGCAGCAAATGAAGCCATCACTGTCCCTGTGAAGTGATGAGGGGCCTGAATAGCCCAGAATGGATGCCCCTGATGGCAGAGGGCGGCCTCTGGGTACAGGTTGGCCCAGTGCCATAGTGGGGGTCATGGCCAGGATCTGTGCCTGCAAGGGCACGCACCTGGCCAGTATACTATATGGCTTCTCAGGATGCTGCAAAATTCGGGGTAACATCCAGGATAGCCTGCTTGTCTGTCTGGCAGCAACCAGAAGTTACAGTGAGTCTGGGGGGAAATGGGATTTGGTGATATCTAGTACAGTTACAGATGTGGGACCTGTGGACCCTGCACTACTCTTTCTAGAATTCCATCCCAAGTTAGTCTAGCAAAATAGCAAATGACATAGGCACAAGGCTATACAATGCAGCAGCAAAAACTAGACATAACACAAATGTCCATCCACTTATCTACTCTTCAGCTTCCAAAAATACAGGGAAGGAGGTTAGTGAGGAAGGGAGAAAGAGATGGAGGTAGGGAGAGGAAGAAGAAAAAAGAATGAGAGAAAAGATAAGAGGAAAATCTCCATATATTGCTATAATGTAGTCTCTGAAGGATATATTGATATATTGTTAAAACAAACAAATACATATTTCACCACTTTCTGTATGGAGTTATATAATTCCCATGAAGAAATAAAGTGGTTGACATTGAGGGAGACAGGTGAAAGCAGGCTTTCTCTGAACATGCTTTGCTTTATTGCTTTGACTTTGAAACTGTATCATTATTTATTTCTAATTACAAAGGAAGTAAAAAAAAAGCAATGCTGGACTTTGGAAACCAGGCAAAAACAAACAAATGTGAATATATATCAAGATTTCTTACAGGAGACACAAAGTACATGCCATAAAAGAAAACTTGAAAAATGACTTTATCAGACCTAAGAGTGCCAGCTCTTTAAAGGCACCAAGGCAAATCAAAAGGCAACCCATGGCTGGAAGAAACCATCTGCAGTCCATATGTGCGACAAAGCACTGGTATCCAGATATAAAAGAGCTCCTTTTACTCAATAATAGTTATTTCAAAAATGCAATATTAGCCCTGGCTGGTGTGGCTCAGTTGATTGAGTGCTGGCCTTTGAACCAAAGGATCACCAGTTTGATTCCCAGTCAGGACACATGCCTGGGTTTCAGGCCAAGTTCCCCAGTAGGGGGCTTATGAGAGGTAACCATACATTGATGTTTCTATCCCTCTCTTCCTCCTTTCCTTCCATTCTCTATAAAATAAATAAATAAAATCTTTTAGAAATGAAATATTAAAGTGGGCAAAAGACCTGAGTAGCGACTTCACAAAAGGAAACATAGGAGATTTCTGGCCAAGATGGAGGTGGAGGTAGACACACTGTGCCTCCTCACACAACTGAAAGAAGGACAATAACAAATTTAAAAATGAAAATAACCAGAACTGCCAGAAAATTAAACTGTATGCAAACCAAAGAGTTAAAGAAGAAACATTCATTCAGACCGGTAGGGGCGGAGATGGCCAGCCAGGGCGGAGAGGACACATGACGAGGTGGAGGCTGGAGGACTGGGCAATCTCACATTTCTGTGTGGGGACAGCGGGAGAAACAACTGGGTAGCGAGACAGACCACACAACCCAGGGTTCCAGCATGGGGAAATTCGGCCTCAAAACCTCTGGCTCTAAAAAACTAGGGGTTGTGGCAGTGTGAGAAAATCCCTGCCTCACAGGAGAGTTTGTTGGAGAGACCCACAGGGTCTTAGAACATACACAAATCCACCCATTTGGGAATCAGCACCAGAAGGGCCCAATTTGCTTGTGGGCAGTGGGGGAAGTGACTGAAAGCTGGCTGAGAGACCAGCAAGTGGCATTGTTCCCTCTTTGACCTCTTTCCCACATACAGCACCACAATGCAGTTATGTGGGTTGCCTCTCCCTAGTGAATACCTAAGGGTCCGCCCTTTACTTTGTAACAGGTGTGTGGAGGCAAAAATATGGCCCAAATGAAAGAACAGATGAAAGCTACAAAAATAGCAGTAAGTGATGAAGAAATAGACAACTTATATTCAGAGTTCAAAACACCGGTAATCAGGATGCTCACAGAAATGCTTCTGTATGGTCACAAAATAGAGGAAAAAGTGAAAGCTATGCAAAGTGACATAAAGAAAAATATACAGGGAACCAACAGTGAAGGGAAGGAAACCGGGACTCAAATCAACAATTTGGAGCAGAAGGAAGAAATAAACATTCAACCAGAACAGAATTGAGGAAACAAGAATTCAAAACAATAAGGAGAGGCTTAGGAACCTCTGGGACAACTTCAAACGTTCCAACATCAGAATCCTAGGGGTGCCAAAAGGAGAAAAGGAAGAGCAAGAAATTGAAAACATACTTGAAAAAATAATGAAGGAGAACTTCCCCAATCTGTCAGAGGAAATAGATTTCCATGAAGTCCAGGAAACTCAGAGAGTCCCAAAGAAGTTGGACCCAAGGAAGCACACACCAAGCCACATCATAATTACATTACCCAAGATTAAAGATAAGGAGAGAATCTTAAAAGCAGCAAGAGGAAAGGAGAGTTACCTACAAAGGAGTTCCCATTAGACCTTCAGCTGATTTCTCAAAAGAGAACTTGCAGGCAAGAAGGGGCTGGAAAGCATTCGAAGTCATGAAAGGTAAGGATCTGCATCCAAGATTGCTCTGTCCAGCAAAGCTATCATTTAGAATGGAAGGGCAGATAAAGTGCTTCTCAGACAAGGTCAAATTAAAGGAGTTCATTATCACCAAGCCCTTATTATATGAAATGTTAAAGGGACTTATCTAAGAAAAAGAAGATCAAAAATATGAACAGTAAAATGACAACAAACTCACAACTATCAACAACTGAACCTAAAAACAAAACAAACAAAAAAAAGCAAAGCGAATTAAGCAA